TATCTCACTGAATTAAACTTCTTGAATAACATGTTCGAACCGTAATCTTCTCCATTACCCGTAATACTGCTACAACCTCTATGACTATGGTCATATGAATGGACAATTGTGTCTTTGTGCACTAATGTGTCCAGGCAACCTGAACTGATGTACGTGCATATAAAGTTCTATGTTGTTTTACTGACTGCTTCACTGACTGAATATTTTTCTTACAGATTTAAAAACTAAAAACTAAAACTATTTACCTCTCCTTGTTTTTCATTTCATTTAAAGCTAGAAGAGACACCTGATCATTCACCGATTCATCTCATCGTTAACACCTCTCCTACACATAGAAAATTATCTCCAATGTCAAGCAATCTTACACAATCTACTACTACTACTCCTACTCCTACTACTTCTACAACGATGTCGATGACAGCGACAACTACTCCAAAACATTTTTCTCATTCATGGTTAGATGATGAAACAACTCCATCGCCATTGATAAAACGTTTACGTTTATCAAATAACACTGATCATGATGATGATGATGATAAGATTATTTCAAATTGTTTTTCGTACACAGCATCAACAACAACAACTACTACTACTACGCCTACTGATATAAAGAATTATCAAACAGAAAAATCAATTCTATCTGATTCTGTAGTTGATTTTATCACCGCAAACTCATTTACTACTCATCACAATGATGCATATATTCAATCCAGTAATAAAGAAAATGATCAAGGTGCTCGAAATTCATGCGGTGAATTATTGACACCAGATAAAAAAAAAGATTCATTGAATTCTATGCTTTTTAATGCAGCCAGTATGAATACACCACCAATTCATTGTACTACTACTACTACTACTACTACTCCATTACCGAAATATGAAGAAATGATCACACCAGAATTGAAAGTAAGTTTATGATAAGAATGTAGTGAAGGAGAACACAGGTGAGGGCAACTGAATTGTATTTAACGAAAATTACAGAGTTACTCAGTAAAATTGGAAAACCATATCGTAAACGCGTAATTTGCAAATTTTCAATCCATCATCAATCCATTGTCTGACATTTCACTCACTATTCATGCGTTTCATACAAATTCCATTGTGTTCCCACTCTCTTCCTTTCTCTTGATCTTCCCTCATCTTCTGCTGCCAGACATTATGTTGACACTCACGTTGTATACTACTTATAAGTAGCGCGCACCACACTCGTCTCCCCTTTTAATAAGCTGTCGTCGTAGTCTTTCTGATTGCCGTACCGTTGTCATCTTTGGTGCTTTTCATGACTCATACACTTGATAATCTTGAAACCATCTCTGCAGTTGTTTAACATTTACGCGCTTCTGCTTGTCTTCTCTCCGGATCGTGTAAACCGCGCCGCGTCTCTCCGTGATAACGTACGGTCCTTCACGCTTTGGGATCAGCAAAATCAATAGTAACTCTTTCTCTTAATCTCCTCCTTTAGATGCTACCCATTTCTTTAACGTCCGGCTGTTTCTCTCTGTAAGCCCGTTTATCTGCGGATGATATGGTGTAGTTCGTATTCTCTTGATGCCAAACTGCTTTAGACGGGCTTTAAACTCGTCACTTTCAAAACCGGGACCCTGGACAGTTAATATCACCTTCCGTATTCCGTGACGCGCTACAATATGACGGATTACTACTTCGGTCATTGTTCTTGCCTGCTGGTCTGGAATGGGTACGGCATCTATCCAACGTGTAGCGTTTTCTAGTTCCCGCTGCTGGGACACGGCGGCAGGCACACTCTCGATAAATTGCGACACCAACAACTGTTCCCTCGACTCCCCATCCACACTCGGCAGCGCACGACGCAGCAATATCGTGAGCTCTACAGCCAGCACCAGTGGGACAGACAACCTTGCCAACCGGGACCTCTGCGGCGCCTCCTCCCTGTCCACTGGGCCGACGAACTCTGTCACCATTCGCTCCGTGACCGCCTCCCACGCCGTCTTCCCGGTGGCATCGTCCAAGCTGTCGTATACAGCCTCTGCCTCCAGCACCACCAACTCCGCCTCGGGCCCCTTCACACTCACCAGCCCCACCACGGCCTCGAACTCCTCCAGGAAGCTCCGCAAATCTCCGTCCTCAAACTCCGGCCACGGGAGCTCCTTCCTTCGTGCAGGCAGCGATACCAAATGTAGTGAAGGAGAACACAGTTGAGGGCAACCAGATTGTACTTAACGAAAATTACCGAGCTACTCAGTAAAATAGGAAAACCATATCGTAACAGTTAATTTGCAAATTTTCAATCCATCATCAATCCGTTGTCTGACATTTTACTCACTATTCATGCGTTTCATACAAATTCCATTGTGTTCCCACTCTCTTCCTTTCTTGATATTCCCCCATCCTCTTCTGCTGCCAGACATTACGTTGACACTCACGCGCACCACAATAATAGTAATTTATTTCACTTTATACTACTTACTTACTTACGTCTGTTATGTCCGGTAGTGCATAGGTTGCTGACCAGTATTCTCCAACTTACTCTGTTCTGGGCCGTCCTTTTCACTTCTATCCAATCTTAGTTCATCCTCCGGTCTTCCACTTTACCTTTTGAGCGTTGACGGTTCCAAGTGAGGTGTTTACTTGTGATGCAGTTAGATGATTTCCTAAATATGTGTGTAATCCACATTCAACGATTATTCCTCATTTCTTTCTCTGCTGCAGTCTGGTTTGTTCTATCTCACAGTAGCTTGTTGCTGATGGTTTTCTGACCAACGGATTTGTGGTATCTTGCGTAAAACAATTGTATCTTTCGGATGATATGGCTTTGGTAGTTTTCCCCTGCTTTCGCCTCATACAGTCAGTGTAGAACAGTCTTGACATTTGTATTGAAAATTGTGATTTTGATGTTGGTTGAAGGTTATTTTGAGTTCTGGATTGTTTTTTGAGTTTTAGAAATGCTGTTCTTGCTTTGCCGATATGCGCCTTCACATCTGCGATCATGAATCCATCATTGTTAGACCATCGTTAGAAACGTGGAAGCATTGAAAGACGACCGTTACGTCCTAGTATAGGACTCAACCGTTGCGCAGCCATAACTCTCGCCACTCATGCACGGACGCTTAACCTTTGAACCACTAAGTTGGCATCCAACGGTGTTAATGTCTAACTGTGAATAAATTTAATGATTTTGGCGCATGAGTTGAGTGCTTGTTGTTTGTTCGTTCGTTTTGAGCTGCTTGTAGATTAAATAATCTTCCTGCTGACTGTTTACTACTTTTAGTTAATTGAGCTTGAACTCAGTGGAACTGCTTAGCTTTGTCCCGTTATTATGTTACAAGTTATACGTTCCGTCTGACTGGTACCAAGGTATTATTCATATCTCGCAAACATAACAGACCTTATTCGAATTCCTGTCAGAATGGTGAGACGTGGATATAAGAGAGATGTTAGAGGGTGAAGGAAGGATTTTATCGTGACCGATTCGGTCTCGTGTGTTGTCAGCAGGTATGAGGATGGATGTCACTTCCCGGCTGCCCCATCGTGGGTGTTTCTTGAGGAACCTGAAAAGGAGAGTAAATTAGTGTTGGTCTTAGAGACCTGAGAGCGTGACCACAGAGCACAAGGCACAAATGCTTGAGGCCCGTTCCGCACGGCATTTTTATGGGTAATATTTAAAGTGTTAGCTCCGTTCTTGTTTAAAAGGCCTTATCACCGGAGACGGAAATCCGTGAAGTAAGGTGAGGTGTAACATTTTTAGGGTTGACCTTTTCTAACCCTTCCTTCCTTGTGATAAGGCAGCATCGCTACAGATGCTGGTTTTTCGAGGGAAACACTTTACTACCCTCACCGCCCTCCATAGTCAGCAGTACGACTTCGCCCTCAGACCTTGAGTAGTTGCTTTTAGTCTCATCGTTCTCTAATCAACCTGCCTGGCATGGTATAACATTCAGAAACATATGTTCCAGCCATTATAGCATGCCTTATTTCGCGTCTCTCTAGCGGATACGGCTAAGGGAGGCCGCGACGGTGCACTTCATAAAGGGCGACGAAGGTTCGGCAACAACTTATCAGTACGCATCACTGGGATTTGAACTGACAATTTAGCGTCGACCATGGTGGCAATGTGGTTTGGCGTCGTTATAAAACCCGGTGAATTTTTGGAAATACTTGATTTCGGCGTACTTAAGGCGTTCAGAAGGTTTCTATTTGCGGTGTATACATAATATCTTTACATTGGACTATTTACGAATCTATAAATTGGATCCTATGGTTATCAATATTAGATTGATTGTGGATCATGACACATAACACATATCACTCTCTTCATTCTAATGCAGAGGGTTACTTGTATAGATTAGCCCCGCAGCGTTAGCTATGCTTTACCAAGCGGAAAATAAAACCGAAAAGGATACCTTGAAAACACGTGGTGGATAAATGGTGTAATTTATTTATGCGTGATTTTTGGTTGTGTGGGTTCTGAGAAGAGAGCACGTAACTGTGGTAAGTTAACAGACAAAAGTGGTAAACGACATATCGGATGGGATCGTAAGGCCGGAAACATAACAGAATGATCTTCTAGTAGACAGATTCGAGCGGTGATCAAGGAATTAAACATTGTGTGAGCCTAGAATGAGCATTGTAACGCGTGTATCCACTTTGATTAAAAAAGGCAGCGTGCGAAAGCCGGATTCAGACATTCAACCTTTGTTATGGAAAACTATAATGACGTGATGCAAGATAATTGAATTATCCGTAAACATAGATGTCAGCACGTTTCAATGTTTTCAGTACAGGATGCTGGTGAGCCCGGATTAGAGAAGTTGCGATTGAGAGCATAAAAGAGTAAATCTTGCATCTCTCTCAACAGTGTGTAGGAAGTCCATGGATCTATAGTTATTACAAAAATAGAAAAACTGAGGCAGTGACGGATATCATTGTATAGAAGTGGGGTCCTGCCAGAGGTACTCAGATGTTCATACTGCCATTGAAACTTCATGGGTAACTATGCACATCCAGGAGGGGTGTGAGCAGGCAAGGGGTGTAAAGGGAAGACAAGTGTGCGTTTTCACTTGGTCAGGAGAAGTGAATTCAGATAGTGACACTACTCACATTCAGTTTTCTCTAGTCAACATTAGTGCCTGTATAGCAAAGTGTCTGCTTCCTACGGCGTGGGTGATCATCTTGATGTCTCAGGAGAGAAACAGAATGGTGTCGATAAACAGGTATAGCAAACAATTTAGAGGTACGCGTCCCTTGGTGCCTCCTTTAATCCCAAACTAGAAAGCAATTAATTTATCTTTGGTATAAAATTGTAATACGGCATCCTAAAATTATTATTCTACGAAAAATACAAAGATAATCCCAATCACCAACAATAATACATATTAGCTCCGTTTTCCGTCAACGAATCACAATGTGTTTTACCAATATTTGAAGAAGTGCTTCCGTATACGGTCCAAACTATGCAGCCCTGTCCAGCCTCACATTCACTTTCCCCCCCACCCACCAAGGTATCGCAATCCAATATGGGTTGGCTCGAATCCAATAATTAAGTGTCAGCTTGTTGACAATTACTACGACATTCTGCATGCTAGTTCGATGCGGGTTAAAGGACAACGTATGTCGGCAGAAAAACATACTCCAAATAGGAGTATCGATGGTAATTTCACACAGAAATATAGACAAAGTGTCACATAGCACAAATACAGAATATTAACCTCATCTCCACAAACTTGGATTACAAACAGTTGACTCACACCAACAATGTAAGCACCCACCCACGATTCAGTAAACAGATAACATATTAAACAAATCTGATACTATATGGCGGGATTCTTTCAACCTAAAATAACACAACGGCCGAACTGTGGCGTCGGTACCGGCCTCACAAGTTATCGTCTTTGCGAAACAAAATCTCATGGTGGCGGGGAAAGTTTCCA